GGCAAAGTATCATCAGCATGCCTAGAACGGGCTCTTGGCGGAGTAGGCGTGCGCTGGAGCTCTCCAACGCCAGGAAGAGGTGGAGTCGGGGAGCGTTCAAACCCCAGAGGCCGCGTCGGCGAGATGGAGATCAACGGGCGCATCATGGCCGTCGGCGAGCACAGCTCGATGAGGGCGGGGCTTCGCTCCTGAAGGGCCATCCTCGCAGCTCGGGCCGAGTCCCGCTTGGAAGTAGGGGAGGGCCAGAGGACCGACGTCGGGGAGCGAGGCGGGGAAGTGGGCGGAGTGCACGTCTCCTGGGAGAGGCGCCTGGTTGCAGCTGGCCGCCTTTGCCTAGAGGGGCTCCGACCGCGCCCATCATCTTGAGGGGCCGGAGTTGCTTGGACAATTGGCAGCAGCTCCATGGCAATGGCCTCCGGGGCACAGGCAGAGCCAGAACCCAGCAGCAGGGCAGCATCAGCGGCCGGATCGGCGAGGGCAGCCTGACGGCGCCCGTCCCGGCCAGACCCGCCACGGCGATCCTCTCGGACATCTCTGCCATACCCACGGTGCTCATCACGAGGATCACGAGAGAGGCTACGTCTGAGTCGAGCACCCAAGCTTTGGTCGCTCCTGGGAGCGTCCCGCCCGCTTCATCCGCGACGATCATCGCGATCGTCATCACGGTCCCGGCCATCACCATCATCTCTATCCCTGCGGTCATGCCGCACGGGGCGAGAGATTTTCTCACGCCTGTCCCTCATGTGCTTCTCGCCGTCGATGATGTTGTACAGCCAAGGGTTTGGCTTGGAGACGATGTTGCCAGAGGAGGGGTCCTCGTGGATGTCGAGATGCACCAGAATGCGGTGCTCCAAGCCTTTTCGGCCATACACCGGCGCACCTCCGTTGCGGGCGGGAAGAGTGATCCAGCTCACCCTCGGCACCTTGCTTGGGCACGGCGTCCATGCCCAGAGCCCCAGGACCTTCGTTTGGGTCTTCAACTGAGAAGCAGGCTCGATGTAGTCAATGGAGCACCCGGAGCCGATGGCCTTGGCGACGGCTTGCTCCTCCCAAGCGTAGAGGGGAAGGCCTTCGAGGCAGAGCCGGACATGGTGCCGCATGTCCACATTCTCGGCGTGTGCCTCGAGCCGCCAGGCGCGGAGCTGAAGCTTGGTGTCGCCGAATGCCAGCTCGCGGCGGGAGACGGCAAGCTCGGCGTGGTGTCGGTGGATGAAACGCACGAGAAACTTCTCGGGGTGATGCGGCACCACGACGACGTCCGGCTGGAGAGCTCCAATCTTGTCGGCGATGAAGGCCGCCATCTCGGTGGTGGACGCCTGGCGGTCGCGGTCGAACCAGGCGACGACGGCGTTGGATTCCAGCAGGGCGATTTCCAACAGCATGGACGGCGTGTTGTGCACCACGGCGAAGACCTCCGGGCGGGTGGAGTGGTCACCCGACCAAGAGCCAATAGAGGAGCCCATCGCAGCTCGGGGACGGGGCGGATGGGCCGTCGGCAGCGACACACGCGGCGGTGGGGGGAGCGCAGCTTGGGGAGGACGAGGCGAGGTCGCCGGCAGCGGCGAGGACGACGTCGGGGGAGGCGCCTTGCGCAGCTTGGCAGCACCTGGACGCAGATGAGGCCGAGGAGTGTGGGTGCAGAAGCGCGCTTTGTGGCCCGAACGAAAGCACCGTCTGCAGACCACAGGGTCTCGACAGTCAATGGCGCGATGTCGAGAGCAAAGGCAGTTGAAGCAGAGGCCTCTTAACCACTCGGGCGGAGGGGGGCGTGCAATGAATGCAGCGTGCTTGGCCGGCGGGCGTGGCCGACGGGATGTGACCTCCACCCAGGGTATGACCGTCGCCTCGGCCTCGAGCCCCGCGGCCGCCGCACCGTGCGGGATTGAATGCCCGTCGCACGCCCTGGACGCCGAGCCTTGGAAGCAAGCCAGCCATCCTGCACCATTACTCGCCATAAATGTCGCAGCAGCGTGGCCCACATTGAAGGTGGCAGGTGGGGCGGCAAGCGAAGCCGGGGCGGGCTCAGAGCCGGAGGAGCCGCCCATGCCCACGCCAGCACCAGCAGGGCACCCAGGCGGGGGAGGCGGCAGCGCCCCAGAGACCAGATCTCGATCCGCATCGAAAAGGGGCGGCTGCGCCGCGGGCTGCTGCAGCGAGGAGTGAGACTCCCAATGCAGCCGCGGGGGCGGGTGGAGGATGCTTGCCAGCAGCGATAGCGGCGGGGCTGGGACGGTGGCCGACGACGCCGGAGCGAACGCCGCCGGTTTGGCTGGTGGGGCTACGGGGACGGGGCTGGGGTTGGGAACGGGCATGGCAAGGATTATTGCTGCCTCAAAGAAGAGAAACACAAAACTCAAATTTGATGAACGGTCTTCCTTCTGATCCACCGAGAACAGAACACACATCGCTGGTCTGCGGAAAGGACACGTATATCATGTGGCGTGTTGGAAGCGAGCGCTGTCGAATGGATCTGCCCATTGAAACAGTTTATGTTTATATATGTATAGCACATCGGATTTTAAGATTCTTTTGGCACTTGCAAATAAGAAATACAAACGCTCTTTGTACCGTTGTGCCCGTCAATGTGCCGAGAAGACAGACCCACATGCTTGTTGGTGTGCCCTCGCTCCGATCCATAGTGTGGGGTGTGCCGATACCAGCAGCAGTACTTGGATTTGCTCTTCCTTACCACGATGGCCAGCAGTTTTTTTTAAGAAAAGGGGAATGACCTTCCGGTCTATGCATCTGGAAGATACATGCGACTTTTTTATTGATTATTTTCGAGGATCTTACAAAGTAGAATAACAATGTGTCTGAATCCGTCATCTTGGCAACATCTGCCGCTACTCCTATCCAAATGATGAAGGGGTGCAAGCTGGGCCGCGTATCCAGACCTCTCACCTAAGCCTAACATCTAAAGCCGGAGGCCCCGACCGAGCCATCTGCCAGGTCCGGGGCTCAAACCGGTCTGACGCACTCACATGTGTCGTCGCCGCCATCTTCCACTGGTCCATCTTTAGAGCAGATTGATGTGACAACCTTGGCAGGTCCTCCACCACCGACGCCGCCATGACGTCAAACGACGACCTCCACCTACGCGAGCCTTCGTCCTCCGCAATTGACGCCACTGTGACGCCAGACGACGACCTCCACCTACACAAGTCCAACTCCAAGCAACAGACGTAAATCCATGCTAGGATAGGGCCACACCACCGTCTCGCCCACCACCCACAAGCGCTACCCAACCCCAAGGTTCCCAAAGCGGCGCCTTCAAGAAGGGGATGACGCCGTGAGCGCCGCCGCCGCCCAACAAAATTAGTGCTTTCGCACGGGAGACCTAAGGAAAGGAGAAGTGAGAAGATCAGTCCATACCGACGCCTCCAAGGAGGAAAACGGCGCCCCGGCACGGCCGCTCATGGCCGGCCAAGGATTTCGCCCGAACTAGATCCCCGCCACCGGCAGCGTCTCCTGTACAGAACCAACGACCAAGAGGAAGCACGGTCCGACCAGGCTGGCCCGCACGCCGAACAGGGGAGGACGGGAGGCGCCAGATCGCGCGCACTGACCGCCGCAGGCCGCCAAACACCACCGGATCTCGCCACCCGCGCGACCGGGACGCCAGATCCACCGCCTGCATGGCTGCTAGCCGGTCGTGCCTTGCCAATGGAGTTGCCGTCTCCAGATCTGGGGTTCCCCACGCAAAGGCAGGGCAACCGAGGCCCCGCCGCCACCATCCTTGGCGCCCTGGGCTTGCCGGACGGCTGCCTCAGGCGGCGGCGAGGAAGGGAAAAGGGGGGGTGAGGAGGAGGGGCGGCTAGGGTTGGGAAGAGGGGCGGCCCTGTTGGATGCGCGGATGCAGATAGTAGACAGAGGCAGGATCGATGGCCAGCAGCACTTGTACTTGGATTTGCTCTTCATAATCTCCTCATTTTCACTTACCAACATACACCCAATTCAAACTTAGAAAATGAGGAAATTATGAAGAACTGTATTTCCTTGAATGCATGAACAATGTATGTTTTCTAAGGTGTACTGGTATCGGGATGGTATTAATATATTCCCTTTCATATAAAAATATAACTACATTCCATGGTATAACTCGAGTCGGTGTCCTTTGCTGTTCGGAGCTGTTGGTGGTGACTTGTTCGAGTCGAGGCACGACTCCCTGCTCATGCGAGCATGGTCTTCACTTGCGTAGCATCTCACGGTCAAGACCACGGTGTGCATGTAACTGTTGAGATCGTGGAAAAATGGTGACAACATCACAAGATGACTTTGATTTGATGGTGCTTCTCAAGCATTGGTATCGAGCTTTGACGTGAAAACCCAAGGTTTGGCCTTCGGTGGTAGGATCTGATGGCGATGACATTTGATAGTTGTTCCCTTATGGAAGACATTGCTCTTGGAGAATTTCTTCTCATTGTATAGAATGATGTTAAGAGATGAGTGTGGATATGGTTGATGTTGTCGATTATCTTTTTTTTTTGACTCCACCAAGGTGTACCTTCGGTTTGTTAGACTTTGTTAGTCGTCGGTGTGATTTTTATGAGTGTTGATGTTGGCTATGTGCATTTTACTTATACAGAGGCCGAATGTGTCCTCATTGCGTTTGTATCCCTTAATCCCGCATTTAAGCTAATAAAAATTTCTTTATCATCTTTAATAAAAAGCCCACAGGAATGCACAAAATTACCACAACAATCTTTCATTGACACATATATCCATTATAAATCTATATTCATTGACACAAAGATACATCACTATAGAAGCCTAGACAAAGTATTTTAACATAACTTGGAGATGATTTTATCTTGGAGTAAAATTCTCCCCATCCTAGGATTCCTTCACCCAAAAGGTGGAACACCATGGCTCCTACATGCTAAACATAATCCTTGTACTACTCCCAACCTAACCCCACTTACTATAAAAAAACAACAATTTTTAACCTTTTGTTTAGCCCAAATCTCCAAGCAGTAAGAAGGCCATACAATACAAACCAAATGATGCAAAAAGGGAAGCTCAAGCCTACAAGACGAGGAAACATCAGGCATCAAAACCCTACAACCACCATAGCATTAGCACAGCGCCGCGCAGCAGTTACTGCCGCCCCCAACTCTGTGCTCCGCCGTGTTGCCCCGCTCCCATTGGCCGCCATGGGCTCCTGCCTCTCCACCCAGCCCGGCGACGAGCCGGCCTGGCCGCTGCGGTGGCGCAAGAGGCCCCATGGCGAGCGGGAGGGCACGGCCGCCGCCGGCGCCTTCTTCTCCGGCGGCGGCGCGGGTGGAGGCGGCAAGAAGCTCCCCGGCGAGGGCGAGATGACCGAGGAGGAGCTCGCGCGGGTCCCCGGAAGGACGTGCGCCAACGGGGCGAGCGCCGCGGCGTGCCTCCACACGCAGCAGGGGCGGAAGGGCACCAACCAGGACGCCATGGTCGTCTGGGAGGTAAGCTGCCGGCACCTAGCAACCGCTATATTTTTCCTTGCTTGGTGGTTTGTTCCGGTGGATTCGGAGTCCCGATCGGCGGCGGCGGCGCTCGGTCCACGGCCGATTCTTGGTTCAAACCGCGGCCTTTCTAAGTCAACCGCTGGCGTTTACTCTGGGAAGTCTTCCTTAGGCGCTTCCTGTTAATCACTTGGTTTGTGCCTGGATTACTGGTGGATTTGGATTCCAATGTTGTTTGAATCAAGGGGAGATGCGTCTTTGTCCAGCGGAGTGTTTGATTCAAAATGAGAGGGATTTTACTTCAGAACAGTGATTAGTTTAGATTTCTAGTGGGGTTGCAGTTGGGTCATTGTTTAATTTGGTTCTAGAGGATGAAACATTTTTTGCTCTTCTGGATCGATTATTATGAAAACGAGCAGTCTGCTATGTTTTTGTGTGTGCTCCTAACGTTTTTCTGATAATTTCTTTTAAAGTGTTCTCTGGTAGATGGGACATGAGTTGGTTGTGGTATTGAACCACTGTTCTTGCCCTTGGCTTGATTCGAGACTTTGTGCATGGTGCAAGCAAGATCCTTCGCGGATGTTTGTACCTTTCTTTGTTTTGTTCTCTTCTTCGATGTAAAGAACGTTATGTTCTTGTTCCTTTCTTCACATGGATGTGATTGAGGGGTCAAGTGATTGGCTGTGGGGATTGATAGCTGGCTTGCTCTATCTAGGGTCCATCCCCTTCAATTAATCAGTCCAGCTTAAGTACTAGTGCTCCAACCAGTATATTGGTTCCTTAAGCAGTAGGCTCTGTGATAACAACTGGAGTTCAACGTTCCTTTTTTTTATCAATTCCTCAGAAATTAAAATATTATTCCTCAAAAAACAACTGGAGTTCAACTGAAGAGAAGGGCAATATGGGCTATTATTATTATTATTATTATCAGTTTCTGGAGAACTAGGACTAGCTAAAATGCATGTAGGTATCCAAGAATCACTTCTATGCATGTAGGTATCTAAGAATCATTTCTAAGATGGATGAAGGGTCATGTACTTAAGATGACAGCAAAGAGAGTTTATGCCTGACTGCCTGTAGATTCTCAGAATAGTGCTTTTGATTGCTAATATTCAAAGCAAAAAGGTACCTCCTTTATTGGAGTGGGAGGTACTTGCTTGACAAATTTGTAGTGTTTCTGTTGAAATTGAATTGAATCAGCCTTTAGTTCTATCGACCGCCTTTTATTCCTTCTCCCTGACAGTCTTTTCTCATATCCATCCTTTCTTTGAGATGTAAGTTATACTGGCAGCCAAATTTTATCGTGTTTCCACATTTCATTGTGAGTAATAGAACTTTCTTAATGTAGTAATATTCTCAGAAATTACAGATTGTCATTCCAGTGGTTACGAAACAAGCCTGCTGAATTAATTTAGTCACATGGTAATATGCCCCATGAATTAACCTTGACTAGCTACTGAGTTTTACCCTGGTTTCTTAAGTACTATTTGAAGTATGATTATCTGATTCCTTCCGTAGGTAAATTTCCTACATTTTGTCTCCTCAAAATGCTTTATACCAGTGAAGTCACGCACTCACTCTACCATATTCTTAATATTTCCTGGTGAAAATATGAGCATAATGATTCCATCAATACAGTTTATTGTAGCTCGGCCCATCTCTTTGATACCTTTTGTGGAATAGCAAGGTCATGGCTGCAGTTACTTGTTAGAAATGAACAATAGTCCCTACTAGCTGATCAGATCACTTGACACCGAGGGAAAAGCTGACACTTATATTGCAGTAAATTGTATTTACATGACAGCTACGTAACACTCCCTTGCTTTCACTGCAGAGTTTCAATTCAAATGATAGTGTCTTCTGTGGCGTGTTTGATGGTCATGGTCCATATGGTCATTTTGTCGCCAAAAAAGTTAGAGATTCTCTTCCTGTTAAGTTACTCGCACAATGGAAAACTAGTGCTAATGTGGGCACTAGTCCTCATCTAAACGGAAGCATTTCCGGAAGTTTGAACTCCGAAGAAACAGCATCTGCTGTTGATGATGAATGGGGTGAGTCTGCTGATGTTGAAGGGAGTGATATGCTTCCTGAGACATTCCTTCCACTTAAACAGTCTTATTTGAAGGCTTTCAAATTGATGGACAAGGAGCTCAAGATGCATCCTACGATTGATTGCTTTTGCAGTGGTAGCACGGCAGTCACATTGGTCAAACAGGTGATTGATACTTCTAAACATGCCTTAGTGTTCGTAGATAAATTGCTGACTGAAGCTTTTAAAAACAAGTGGTGGAGTATAATTTTGATTGATGGATGAACTGGACATGCCTTATTCTCCAGGGATGGGATCTTGTAGTTGGAAATCTTGGGGACTCGAGAGCAGTAATGGCGACACGGGATGCAGCTAACAATCTAACTGCTGTACAACTCACTGTTGATTTGAAGCCTAACCTTCCCAGTATGTTCATTTCTCTCCTTTAATATTTTAATTGTTTTTTTCGATTTCAGTATTTTCGTGTGGTTACCATACTCTTCCCATTCTCCCTGTAAATGCCTTGATCAAACTATCATTTAATATAGTGGCTATTGCTAATTATCCAGATTGATCACTTTGTTTTTGTTTTTTTAATAATTATTCTTCATTTCTTTTTCTACAGAGGAAGCTGAGAGGATCCAGCAATGCAGAGGAAGGGTTTTTGCTCTTCAAGATGAGCCAGAAGTTTCAAGGGTATGGTTGCCGAATAATGATTCTCCTGGACTGGCAATGGCAAGAGCTTTTGGAGACTTCTGCCTTAAAGATTATGGCTTAATATCTGTTCCACAGATATCATATCGCCGTCTTACTGAAAAGGATGAGTTTATAATACTAGCCACTGATGGGGTATGCTTCTTAGCGTTTTACTAACAATGGTCCTTCAAATTAGAAATTTCATATGTTCAGGCATAAAGCTTTTACATCCTTCACCAGCTTCAGTCCTGTTATATGTTATTATATTCAGAAAAAACTCAATTGCTGCAGGTTTGGGACGTTCTTTCAAACAAGGAGGCTATTGATATTGTGGCTGCAGCTCCATCTCGAGCAACTGCTTCCAGGGCTCTCGTTGATTGTGCTGTCAGATCTTGGAGATTGAAGTTCCCAACATCCAAGAGTGATGACTGCGCTGCTGTCTGCCTGTTCTTGGACCACGAAAAGTCACCTACTCTGGTTGAAGAGAGTGAAGCCGAGAATGAAAAGGCAGAACCTGCCAAGGATGCTTTAATCTCAGATGCCGGTGATAAAATCAATGAAGACATTGCAGATGTGAATGAACACATCTCCAGGGAAGAGCATATCCCTGAGCCCACATTGGAACACTCATCCACGCTAAGAAATGTTGATGAGATTATGCCGGTGGACGAACCTCCTGTATCAAAGGAACCTGAAAGGTGCGGGTCTGCCCGCAGCCTGGCTGACTGCATATCGACAAACGAGGAGGAGGAATGGTCTGCGCTCGAAGGCGTGACACGGGTAAATTCCCTCTTGAACCTTCCAAGAAAACTCTCAGGTGACAAGAAATCTACCAGCTGGAAGAAGCGACGCTGAGCTAACATTATGAAAAAAAAAACCATCTGCTCTGATGAAAGTCAGGCAGGGTGCTCGCAGTGGCGCATCACAGCCGATACCGGCATTTTTCAGCCGAGTGCGTGCAAATTCTTCGGCCGATTTTTAGGTCCCTGCCCTAGATTGTTTCAGGCTGGCTGGCAGGTGTGTACATTCAAGAAGATTGTTTTTTCTTCTTCCTTGTGGTATTTGTCAGGAGGCATTCCATGCCTGGGCTTCTTTACTTGTATGTGCATATGAAAGTTTTTGTTCTGTGAGAAGCTTTTCTGTAAATCATGTAAGACCTCCTCTCTAATGTCGGGATGTTCGGTTGTAGCTGTACTAGAACAGTAACTCAATTCTCTATGTGTAGTAGGCCATATGAATTTTCGCCTCAAGAGTGTAAGCTTCTTTAATCTGTACCGGCTCTTCTCAAGATTATCTCTTTCTTGCCTTTGCATAAGCCTTGAATTTGGCAGGAATTTAGGCTTCTTATCAAATATAGGATGCCAAGAGATTTGGTGCTGGTATGTAAACACACTGATATTTCTACATAGTCGCTATAAGGTCATATGTTTACTATAAAGTCATATGTTTAAACATAATAGTTCTTATGGAAATACCAAAGGTGAACATAGTTCCACACGCATCCACAATGTACGGCTGTCGCCAGTGTGTCCAAGACGATGTGTTCCTCGAAGGCATTCAGGGTGGATGGTGCGTCGGCGAGCGAAGTTTTGCAGAAGCTGGTGGTCTTTGGAGGTGTCTGGCGTTGGTCGAGGCGCGGTGTTGTGTTCAGTTAGGACAAGCTCTTCTGCTTTTGTAGTTTTTGTTTGGTCGTTAGTGGTTGTCTCCGGACTTGCTCGGGTGTGGTCGTTGTTCGCAGCGAGTGATAATCTTCTTGTACTTATAGTTCTGTCTTCTATAAAGCTACGGTACGCCTAGGCGTACTCTCGGAAAAAAATTTTCACGCGCATCCACATGAATAGTAAAATTGAAAAACATAATTACTCTCCCAGATTCATACTACTACTTGTCCTGCTTTAGTATAACTTTGTTATTTAAAAAAAATTTGGGTATCAAACTTGGTTGGCCGTTCAACTCACGAGTGAAGTTTCGTGAAGGAATGACATACGTGGTATTCTTGTGAAGGAAATACAATCAAAGCCTTAAAACAATGCTTTTTCGTAGCTTTCATTTTGACCTTTTATAGCTTTTTTTACTCAGGTCTTACACATGATTCTTTTTTGCGGAAAACATGGATTTGATTGGTGTCATGACATCGAACTTTATTTACAACAATAATCTGACTTGGAGGTTTTGAAAGCCTATGGACAACCCACTCTCAAAGTTGTTGGAGTACCGCGGAGGAAGATCGATCGAGAGGGGCAACCCGCTCTCAAAGTGTTTTTTTGTCTGATAAAACTTTTAATCTATTCATCATCAATCATATAGTAAAACGGATACCAGAAATATTAAAAAATTAGTACATTCAAATCAGTAGACCACCTAGCGACGGTTACGACCGCCGTCGTCATCGCCCCTCCCTCACTGGGCCTGGCAAAACTTGTTGTAGTAGACAACCGGGAAATCGTGTTGCTAAAGCCCTATAAGACCAACGCACCAGAACAGCAACCACCATTGTTGAAGAGAAGTTTAGATCAGAAGTATCAACCTGTAGACATACGAACACAAACGAACAAATATTGGATCCTCATGGATCCACCGAAGACAAACGCGGACCGAATCCCACGAGATCCGCCGGAGAAAAATCTCCACACGCCCTCCGATGGCGGCAGAAGCACTATCGGGACAGGGAGAACTTTATTTCATCTTCAGAGAGCCGCCGCCGCCTCGTCTCTTTGAGCAGGACACAAACCCTAAGAAAACTCATAAAAGCATTCAAAAAATGAAGCCCTATCGTCGGCAAAGGTCGGGATCTATCACGCCTCCATGGCCCTAAGGCCACAAGAGACGATGCAGACCGACATCGGCGCCGACGGGAGACAGAAGAAACCCTAGTGCCAGCTGGGTACGATGCTCTCAAAGCTGTTGGAGTACCGCGGAGGAAGATCGATCAAGATAGCTGCTATTCACACTAGTATAAGTTTTCCACAAAATCAATTGTTAAGGATATTCCACAAAATCAATTTGTTTAGGATATTCCACAAAATCAATTTTTTTCCACAGAATCAATTGAGAAGTTGTGGACAATGTTCACGGGATATTAGGCCCGACTTGCCGGCTCCGCGGCTCGGCCCAAATAATATAATCTCGTTGGGCACAACGGGCCCGGTCTCGTTTCCACACAAAATACGCTTTCCCGTGCGGAAAACGGGGGCTAATTGATTACCGTTTAGTCGCTGGTGGCTGAGGCGGCGGATTGCGCTTTGGCTACCTCCCGATCTCTCTCTCTCTCTCTCTCTCCCCCATCTCGTTTCGTTTCGAAGCCGACGCGGAGGAGGCCAAGTCGCGAGGAGGCGGAGAAGCCGGCAGGCAGGCTGCGCCGCTGCCAGGTCCAGGTCTAGCGCCTCAGGCAAGGGAGAGGGAGGGGGAGGAGCAGGAGGAGGAGGTTGCCCGCCATGGGGATGAAATTTCTGAACAAGAAGGGGTGGCACACGGGGAGCCTCCGCAACGTGGAGAAGGTGTGGGTGGCGGAGCAGAAGGAGAAGGAGGAGCAGCACAAGATCGAGGAGTACAAGAAGCAGCTCAAGGAGGAGCGGGAGAAGGCCGAGTTCCGCGCCATCCAGGAGCAGGCCGGATTCAAGCCGTAAGCATCCCGCATCCCGTCCCAATCTGTCCGCTCTTTTAGCTAGCTAGGGTTTCGGGTGCGGAGAGATTAATTGACGCGCTCGTGAGATTCAATTCGATTTGGTGGTTTAGAAGAGGCTGCTTTGATTTGGCAGTCGAGTCACATGGGATTTAGGCGCAAATTCGCAGGATCTGAAGTAAATTCCTGTTTGGTTTTGTGTAGGATTACTGGTAGAGGATATCTGTTTCACGGGCTAAGTTTTTCGTAGGATCTGTTCATTTCGATTTGTCACGCAAACTGTTGGGAAATCCTGAATTACTTTTCTTTTTTTGGGGGAATTTTGCTGTCACTTGCTTATGTATATGTGGTTTCATTGTTTGCAGGAGGCAGGAGAGGTTGGAATTCCTCTATGAGTCAGGGCTGGGTGTTGGCAAGGGGAGTTCGGATGGATTCCAAGCACTGCAGCAACCTGGCCCAGCGGCGGCCGCTGCCGCCTCCTCTTCTGCTCCAACGGCTGCTGGCTCTTCCAAGGTATCTCAGTTGTTCCTTTCTTCGTGGATTTCAGATTTGCACGTAATTGGGCGTATACAATTGTCAAAGAAATATCGATGTTACTTATGTAAACTGTATGTTTTCTTCTCTACTTTTGAATAGAGATCAGATACCTGTTTGGTGGTTTCATATTGAATTATACTATAGGTTCTCTTATTAATAGTTGAACTGATAATAAATACGGTAGTTTGGTTTATAGAAAAGACAAACCTTGTTTTTAAGGGTTTATCAAGATACCTATCATCTATCATCGCATCACTATATACAGCTTGATTGATTTTGCAGTTGCAGCGCTTATTTTGTTCTGTCTCGATGTTTCAGGATACTTCCCTGGGAGCTCTATTTGAGGAGAAGCCTCAATCTGCAAATGACACATGGAGAAAACTTCACTCTGATCCTCTACTCCTAATAAGGCAGCGTGAGCAGGATGCTATTGCAAGGATTAAAAATAATCCAATCAAGATGGCCGAGATAAAGAAATCAGTAAGTTCTCAGAATTGATTCTCTGAATTAGAACTAGCTTGTGAACTCATCCACACATAGCAGCCTATTGATGGTTTCCAATGATTTCATCTGAACTACACTCTCTGATACAATCTTATTTCTGTAGATGGAAGCAGAAAAAATGCAGAAGGAAGAAAAGAAAGAGGAGAGAAAGCACAAAAAACATCGTCATCATAAGTCAAAGAGTAAGAGGCATCACTCAGCTGAAAATTCTGATTCGGATGACGTAAGTGATGGCAAGAACGAAGGGAGAAAGAAAGTTCCTTCTGCTCCAGAGCACAAGAGGGAAGTGAAAAGGTCAAGGCATCAGAAGAAAGAAAGTAGACAAGAATCCTCGGATACAGAAGATGATGAACCAAGGAAAAGAAGGCAGGAGATTTCAGAAGATGATCAACCAAAGAGAAGACGACAAGACAAGTCAGAAGATGCTGAACGGAGAAGACGGCGGGAGATGTCACAGGATGATGAACCAAGGAGAAGACGGCAGGATACGCCAGAAGATGATGAACCAAGGAGAAGACGACGGGATACGCCAGAAGATGATGAACCAAGGAGAAGACGGCGAGATACGCCGGAAGATGATGAACCAAGGAGAAGACGGCGAGATACACCAGAAGATGATGAACCAAGGAGAAGACAGCGGGATATGCCAGAGGATGATGAACCAATGAGAAGGCGACGGGATATGCCAGAAGATGATGAACCAAGGAGAAGACGGCCAGAAATGTCTAAGCATAATGAGCATCCACGCCGGGATCGGCCAGATGCTGATGATAGGAGGAGACACAATTCGGGTTCAGACCGCCACCATGCTTATCCAAAGCATGACAGCTCAGACTCGAAGCAGAGAAGTATTGGAAATGGCCGGAACAATGGCAATTCCACTTCTGAACACCGCTCCCATGCTGAAGTCGCTTCAGGAGATCAACGAAGACAGGAGAGCCGGCAGGGCAGGGAACTAGGTTCAGAAGACCGTGGAAGACAAGAAGGCCAGCAGGGCAGGAACAATGGGCCCACAACTAACCGCCGTCGAGGGGGCGTGCACCATATGTCGGAAGAGGAGAGGGAAGCTCGTCTACGGCAAATGCAGGCAGACGCCGAGGTCCACGAAGAGCAGAGGTGGAAGAGGATCAAGAAGGCTGCAGATGATGATGCCAAAGAGGCGTCCACGGTGGCTGCAAACCAGTTCAGAGGGAAGAATTTCTTGGAGGACGAAAAGAAGAGTATATTTGGTGCTGAAAAGGGCGGCAGCGCCACCATCGAAGAGAGCATCCGCCGCCGCGCCTATTATTCTCAGGGTGGCGGTGATGCCCATGAGGCCAATGCGTTCAGGCGGTGAAAATCCCTGGAGCTGCTCAGGCTTCATATATTTCTGTTTGCATCTTTGTCTCTGGTCTTCCTTTTCCAGTCTCATGTTTGTATGATGTACGATATTTGAAGGAATTTTAATGTCGTGTACAAAATACATGGTCCTCGTTATTTTGAATCCAGAAATTTGTATTGAAACTAGTTAATTGCCCGTGCGTTGCCAGGGGCATACATACTTCAGTGGTCCAACATCAATCGTTTGGATCCTCGTTCACACCCTTTCACTCCCCCTCCCTCCCCATTTCCCTCTCATATTTTTTTCAATCTAGAATACTAAAATTGGCCATGCATTATTTTCAAGAGAACAAAAATGATTGTACATTATGATAAGATACTAAAAGACATCTTGTAATGTATGTAGGCTCCGTCCTGAGACCACAAGGACCCAAATATTCAGAATCTCTACTCTTATAAAAAGCAGAGTTGGTGATGATGGTGTGCTTACCATCTTGCAATATAGGCCGTCTGATCTATATCTAACGGACAGGAAGAAAACTATGACAATTTACCCGCACTCCTTTTCACATTTGCAGATACGGCCTTCTCACGTTCATCTTTTTCTCTTACAAAATAAACTACTCATACAAATGCATTTTGTTGTTCCGTGCAACACACGGGCATCTTGCTAATAAAAGACTAAAAAACTCAGTTGGTGATGATGTGTCTGCCATCCGTCATTTCTGACCATTAGATCTGCATCTAACGACCACGAGGTAAGTTGTGGCCTTTTTGCAACAATAGCCGATTTCTCTGCTCCAATTTACAGAAACCCCTTAGTATCTTGAAGCCAACCACATTACTCCCTCACCTCATCAAAACAGTCAGAGGAATATATTTTGAATGAAACATAATATATTTTTAGTGATATATTTATATCACAAAACTGAAGTGTTTTCTTTCAAGTCTGTGAACAAGTATTATTCTACTTTGAATCCGTTGCAATGCACAGGGACATTGCTAGTAACAATGAAAATAATGACACATAACATAGGAGAGAGATACGGCTAGAATATGTACACCATTTGTGACGAGGGAAAGTTGTATCTGGAAAGCGAAAAAGAAGGTCAGGATCCGAAACCCATCAAGAGCCCGCTGAAATTCTCAGGAACCGAACAACATCCTGATTCCATGGGAAAATGAATCAAAAGCGCAGACCAAATCAACAAAATTCGGATCTAGTATCATGAACCAAGAGCATCACGTCCTCATAGATATTTTGGTTCATATACTGCAGTTTTGAAAATCACTAGAAGCGAACTGGTAGAGGCATCAAAACGGGTCTGAACATATGAGAAACATACAACATTAGCTAAGCACATGTCTATGCAAAGGTAATAACAAAGATGACTATTGATTGTATGTCCGGGATCCTATAGCATAAGCAGGCATTGACACAACTACAGTCAGCACCTCTGTCATCAGGGAGGCTGTGGCCTTGCACGCGGGCGTCGACCGCTCCCTGCTGAAGGTGGTGCCTTTCTACCCCGAAGACTTTCTCGTCAGATTCGACTTTCAGCATCACTATGACTTAGCGACGGCCGGCCTAGGCCGGTTCTCCCACTTCAGCTCCGACTTCGGCAACCTCGACATCCACATAGCCAGGTGGCGCCTCAACACGCACGCCGACGCCATCCAAGCTGACTACCACGTCCATCTCTGCATCGAAAATGTGCCACTCAATGCTTGGAATGACTCCGTCGCCGCGCCGGTGCTTGGTCCGGACACTTTCCTGTACTATTTCGACATCGCCTCTGTGCAGTGCGAGGATGCAACCACGCTCAACCTGTGGGCTTGGTCGTCCGACCCCAGCAAAATCCCCAAGGTGCAGAATGTCACTTTCACCTGCAATCAGCCGCCGGCAGGCAGCACCCCGCCCCCCACCATCGGGCGCCGAGGACTACGGCGCCGTGTCCTGGTCCATCTGGACCGAATCGAAGATTCCCTCCCAGACTCGGAAGGCAGAGTTCCTCGACGGCCGCGCCCGCACCCCCCTTCGACTGGCGCTATGGTGTCGTGGACGGCGAGGCCCGTTCATGTAAGGCGGGTGCTCAGCGAGGGGACCGCGACGGCCGTGACCGACGCGAAGACGACCGTGACAGGGACGACGACCACGACAAGCGCGACGACCGCAAGACTTCCTCCTGGCGTGGTCTCTTTCGGAGCCGCTCTAGGGCCCCTCGCCGCGACGATGAGCGGGTAGGAGGCTCGCGCGATGACCGGCGGCAAGATGACCGCGACTCTCGCGGCCGCTACGACGATGGCAGGAGGCGTGTCCTGCCGGACGCCCGGAAGATTGACAAGGCCAAGGTGCAACGCCTTCCTGACAATGCAGTCATCCCAGCTTCACGCAGAAGGGCTCGGCATCGGGCAACCTGTCCGGAGAGATGCTCGCGCTCCTGTGAGGTGATCTGCACCAGGCGCACGTGAAGGAAATATGCCCTAGAGGCAATAATAAAGTTGTTATTTATATTTCCTTATATCATGATGAATGTTTATTATTCATGCTAGAAGTATATTAACCGAAAACTTAGTACATGTGTGAATACATAGACAAACAGTATGTCACTAGTATGCCTCTACTTGACTAGCTCGTTGAATCAATGATGGTTATGTTTCCTAACCATATACATGAGTTGTCATTTGATTAACGAGACCACATCATTAGAGAATGATGTGATTGACTTGACCCATTCGTTAGCTTAGCACGATGATCGTTTAGTTTGTTGCTATTGCTTTCTCCATAACTTATACATGTTCCTATGACTATGAGATCATGCAACTCAAGAATACCGGAGGAACACTTAGTGTGCTATCAAACGTCACAACGTAACCGGGTGACTATAAAGATACTCTACAGGTGTCTCCGATGGTGTTTGTTGAGTTGGCATAGACCGAGATTAGGATTTGTCACTCCGAGTATCGGGGAGGTATCTCTGGGCCCTCTTGGTAATGCACATCACTATAAGCCTTACAAGCAATGTGACTAATGAGTTAGTTGTGGGATGATGCATTACGGAACGAGTAAAGAGACTTGCCGGTAACAAGATTGAACTAGGTATTGAGATACCAACGATCGAATCTCGGGCAAGTAACATACCGATGACAAAGGGAACAACATATATCGTTATACGGTTTGACCGATAAAGATCATCGTAGAATATGTGGGAGCCAATATGAACATCCAGGTTCCGCTATTGGTTATTGACGGAGACGTGTCTCGGTCATGTCTACATAGTTCTCAAACCCGTAGGGTCCACATGCTTAACGTTTGGTATTATGAGTTTATGTGTTTTGATGTACCGAAGATAGTTCAGGGTCTTGGATGTGATCACGGACATGACGAGGAGTCTCGAAATGGTCGGGACATAAAGATTGATACATTGGATGACTATATTCGGACACCGGATGAGTTCCAGGGGTCACCGGATAATTATCAGAGTGCCGGGGGGTTATCGGAACCCCCGAGGGATCTAATGGGACAACATGAGCCTTGTGTGAGAGAGAGGAGGGGACCTTAGGGTTGGCCTCCCCCCTTGAGGAGTCCGAATTGGACAAGGAGGGGGGGTGCACCCCCTCTTTCCCTCCCTCTCCTTCCTCCCCCTTCCTCCTCCTAGTTGGACTAGGAAAGGGGGAGTCCTACTCCTACTAGGAGGAGGACTCCTCCCCTCCTTGGCGCACCCCAAGGGCCGGCCGCCCCCCTTGCTCCTTTATATACGGGGGCAGGGGGGCACCCTAGGACACACAAGTTGATCATTGATCCCTTAGCCGTGTGCGGTGCCCCCCTCCACCATAACCCACCTCGGTCATATCGTCGTAGTGCTTAGGCGAAGCCCTACGCCGGTATCTTCATCATCACCGTCATCACGCCGTCGTGCTAACAAAGCTCTCCCTCGACACTCAGCTGGATCGAGAGTTCGTGGAACGTCACCGAGCTGAACGTGTGCAGATCGTGGAGGTGCCGTACTTTCGGTACTAGGATCAGTCGGATCGTGAAGACATATGACTACATCAACCGCGTTGTCATAACGCTTCCACTTACGGTCTACGAGGTTACGTGGACAACACTCTTCCCTTCTTGTTGCTATGCATCACCATGATAGATCTTGCGTGTGCGTAGGATTTTTTTTGAAATTATTGCGTTCCCCAACAGTCGCATCCGAGCCAGGTCTATGCGTAGATGTTATATGCATGAGTAGAACACAAAGGAGTTGTGGGCGTGGGTATATACATATTGCTTGCCGTCACTAGTTGATTCTTGATTCAGCGGTATTGTTGGATGAAGCAGCCTAGGCCGACATTACGCGTACGCTTACGCGAGACTCGTTCTACCGATGTTCTTCGCACACAGGTGGCTGGTGGATGTCAGTTTCTCCAACTTTAGTTGAATCGGATTGAATGAACATGGTTCTTTCCGAAGATCAAAAAGCAATCACTATACCGCTTGTGGTTTTTCATGCGTAGGTAAGAATGGTTCTTGCTCAGCCCGTAGCAGCCACGTAAAACTTGCAACAACAAAGTAGAGGATGTCTAACTTGTTTTTTCAGGGCATGTTGTGATGTGATATGGTCAAGACATGATGCTAAATTTTATTGTATGAGATGATCATGTTTTGTAACACAGTTATCAGCAACTGGCAGGAGCCATATGGATGTCGCTTTATTGTATGAAATGCAATCGCCACGTAATTGCTTTACTTTATCACTAAGCGGTAGCGATAGTCGTAGAAGCAATAGTTGGCGAGACGACAACGATGCTTCGATGGAGATCAAGGTGTCAAGCCGGTGATGATGGTGATCATGACGGTGCTTTGGATATGGAGATCAAATGCACAAGATGATGATGGCCATATCATATCACTTATATTGATTGCATGTGATGTTTATCCTTTATGCATCTTATTTTGCTTAGTTCGACGGTAGCATTATAAGATGATCTCTCACTAAATTTCAAGGTATAAGTGTTCTCCCTGAG